AATCAGGAGTTTCTCAACTTTAATCCCCATATACTACATCTAGACGAACACTAGTCAAAACCTTGTACAACCTATAACAGAACAAGAAATAATCACAGAAAAACAACAAAGCTAGGGGTCCAGACGATATTCCAATAGAAAGCCTTAAAGCACTAGGATGGAATACATCTCCTCACAAATCTGTACAATAAAATACTTGGAAATGAAGAGTTTCCCCGAAAATGGAGGCAGAGCTATATAGTTCCTATCTTCAAAAATAAAGGGGATCCACACAATTGTCAAAATTACAGGGGCATAAAACTAATGTCACACTTGTCTAAAACTATACGAAAAAATAATAGAAAAAAGATTAAGAGACATAATCGAAATAGGAGAGACTCAGTTTGGCTTTATGCCTGGAAGATCAACAACTTATCTGGTGGGCGCTACGCGACAAAAAGTTTCCCGAAAAATATATAAGAATAATACAGGATATGTATATCCATACAACAATGGTCCGTAGCACAACAGGTACTTCAGCAGGCTTCACAATAGCCGAAGGAGTTCATCAAGGGTCGACTCTCAGCCCACTTCTCTACATTACAGTAATAGATGTATTAGCAGTCTATACCTCAAACAGTCCCGTGGAATATGATATTTGCAGATGATATTGTGATATTTGCCGAATCCAAGAATGAAATGATAAATATCCTAGAAAAGCACGGACTAAAAGTAATTAGAGAAAAGATGGATTATATGGTGATAGGAGGAGATGAAACAGAAAGTATTGATATAAATAAATGGCAGATATCGGCAATTGAAAGTTGCAAATATCTGGGCTCCACTATACAAACAAACGGCACAATAGAAAAAGAGATAAAGGGTAAAATTAATCAAGGGTGGTTAAAGTGGAGATCTTTATCTGGAGTGCTATTTGACAAAAGAATCCCACACAAATTAAAGGGAAAAATTTACAGTTCCATAGTACAACCAACTATTCTATAAAGTACGGAAACATGGCCAACCAAAAAATCCTACAAACTATGGAGATGAGAATTCTGAGGATGATTGCTGGGGTAACAAGAAAGAATAAAGTGCGCAGTACAAGAATACTAAGTAGTTTAAAGGTAGTGCCCATTAAGACTAAGTTAATGGTAAACAGACTTAGGTAGTATGGGCACACAATGAGAAGGCCTATGAACTACATAAGAAATAAGGTTGAGAGTTTGGAAGTGATGGGCAAATGTAAAAGAGGAAGGCCAAAACTTCAATGGGGCCATAAAGTTAAAAAGAGATTGTATGAATAACATAAAGTGGAGAGAGATGTTGAAGGTGCTTACCATCAGAAAAGGTGAAAGCTTAAAGAGAAAAAAATTATTTATATATCATGAATTAGTATATTCATTAGTTATATATATTTTATAATAATTATATATATATATTTATGATTAATATAATATTGGGTGATGGTTAACTACCTGACAACCATATCATCTATTATAATGTGATATCCGGATATATATATATATTGTTATAATTGTATAAATAAATGTTGTATAAATTAACTCAAATATTATAGCCTGCAATATGTGGAAATATATGTATGAATATATCATATTATATTATTTATATATCATGAATTAGTATATTCATTAGTCATATATATTTTATAATAAATTGGGTGATGGTTAACTACCTGACAACCATATCATCTATTATAATGTGATATCCGGATATATATATATATCTATATATTGTTATAATTGTATAAATAAATGTTGTATTAACTCAAATAATATAGCTTGCAATATATGGAAATATATGTATGAATATATCATTTTATATTATTTATATATCATGAATTAGTATATTCATTAGTTATATATATTTTATAATAATTATATATATATTTATGATTAATATAATATTGGGTGATGGTTAACTACCTGACAACCATATCATCTATTAATAATGTGATATCCAGATATATATATATATTGTTATAATTGTATAAATAAATGTTGTATGAATTAACTCAAATATTATAGCAGCAATATGCAGTCTATTATTATATTTTTAGTGTTGTTAAAAATAACTAGTAACATTTTTCCAAATAATAACTATCTAGTTCTTCTGGAAGATGTAAATCTTAGTTATATTTTTTGAACTATTTTTCAAAATATGTTAAACATTTATATATAATATAGTATATCATTCCCTATATAAAAATGCTATGTTAAATATGTTTCACTTAGATCAAGTGCACCTGTAGTATGTTTGTTTAGTCTTGAGAAGCTTATTGTTGGAATTAGCATGCCTTTTAAGGACCAATTTTTAAAAATAATTTATTGTTAATCAGATAAAAATTGATTATGCCCAATTTTTTTGAAAAATATAATGGGTTTTTAAGGGATCCCTTTAACCCTAACCCTAAGAATTTAATTTTTTAAAATATAAAGAACTTATATGGTATTATCACGTTTGAACCATGATAAAGAATAATCTTAATTTAAAAAGCGTTTTCTTTTATTTTTTAAAAAATTTGATTGTTATTTATTTATTTTCTAAGTTTTTTGGGGGGCTTATGAAAGTAGATATGTAGAATATAGGGTATCGATTGATAGCTTATCAAAAGATCGGTTCAACTAGAGGTCAACATTTCCCCATTAATGAGTGAGTCTAAGTCTAGGGGGTCAGGAATATTTTTATCAAAACAAAATATAGATATAGGTATCAAATAATGGCTAATTTAAACATCTTTTAACTGAAAGTATTCATTATTGGTCTTGATAGGTAGGACTTGGTCTAAGGGGGTGGGGTAAAAAGTAAAAGGTAATGATATTGGTATCAAATAAAAGATAATTAAAATATCTTTTGATTGTAATAATAATTATCACTCTAGGTGGGTGGGTCTAGGTCTTGGAGGATCAAGAATATTTTTTAAATACAAAATAACGATATAGGCATCAAATAAAAGGTAATTAAAATATCTCTTGATTCTAATAATTTTAATCTAACTAAGCGGGTTGTGTGGTCAGGAATATTTTTATAAACACAAAATATTGATATAGGAATCAAATAAACGGTAATTTAAATATCTTTTGACTGAAAATATTTACTCTTATTTTAAAGGTTTGGACTTGATCTGGGAATGGCGGGGTGGGGGGGGGGGGGGGTGTAAAAATAAATATTGATATGGATATCAAATAAAAAGTAATTAATAATCTTTTGATTATATTACTTAAATCATGCTAAGCGGGTGTGTATGTCATGAATATTATTATTAACACAAAACATCAACATGGGTATCAAATAAAAGTTAAATACAACATATTTAGACTTCAATATTAAATATCACTATAAGCAAGGGTCATATATAGTCAATGCTTTCTAAAAACTCATTGTAACTCAATGATAAAACTATTTGCTCGTAACTTAATCTAATATGTAATATTTTTAAATATCAAAATTTCTGGAGGCTATATTTTAAACAATCTATTCACAAATTTTAAAATGACATTATAAATTTTTCTTATTGTAGTTATAAATTATTGCACTTCTTTACAAGCAAATCATCCCTATTATATATTTTTTTCAAACCATATAATCAACACATATTTTATTTGATTTTGATAATTGAAATTTAAAATGTAATTTTGCATAATTATTTATTATTTACACAAATAATATTCAAGTGACATTTTGTGGAACAATTAATACCGTTTTTAAAACATTGGCATCTCTTACTGTTGCAACTTTTTTGGCAATTGCAAATTGATTTACAATTACCATAAGAAGATGCACTACTTGATGCTGTTATTATGGAGATGCAAAAGATATTTAAATTAGCTTTTATTTGATTTCCTTATTGATATTTTATTTTGATAAAAATATTCCTGACCCCCCCCCAGACCTAAACTGGATTAAAGGGGATTGAATAGATCTTTTGATTAGCTATCGATTGATACCCTATATTAGACATATCTTATTTCATAAGACCAAAAAAACAATATTGAAAATTAATTAATAACATTAAAATTAAAAAATGAAACACACATAAAATGCTTTTTAAAATAAGATTCCTCTTTATCATCGTTAAAATGTGATAATACCATATTATCATTTAACTTTTAGTTATCCCTTTAAACCTTGTGATGATCCTGAATAGTTCAATTACGACATATATTGTGTTAATTCTTATATTTATTATGTATAATAAGTAAATATTATTTTGTGATATTTTTTTCAGTGCAAATAAGTTATACATTTTGTCTTTTTGTTTTCAGTGCAATTATGTCTTTATTAAAATTTTTATACAGAATTGTAAATTGATAACATTATAGCAATAATATTTTTTATAATAGGAATGATAAATGTGATTAAAAGTTTTTAAAATTATTCAAATAATATTTGTTTAAATTAATTATGAACAAATCATAACATTTGTATACAAATAATTATTATTCAAATTGGTATTTATGAATATTTCAAATAAATGCAATATTCCATCTACAATTAGAGCACTAATCATGAGTATAGACCTGATATAAAGGTCTTGCAAGCCACAAACATAGATAAATATCATTAAATCGTCAGTTATTGTTAAGTATTCATATTTAAGTATAACATTTAAAGAGTAAATAAAATAAATATTTTGGGTTAGTTATCTTTGCCTAAAAGCTTCTTTAAAGATTCAAGCAGCAACTGCCCAGACCTAGGTCTAAAAAATAGCTACCAGGCTCTAGGTAGGGATTGACCAAAAATATTAATTTAACAGGTCTCTACCTGATATAGCTAGCATCAGTACACCTTTGTTTTTTTTTAAATTTTGATAGAATATTGCTTTGTGGTTTGAGCCAATATACTTAATCTAATTAGAGCATTTATTTACTATTAGTTGAATGCTCAAGCAACAAATTGGCATTGATTGAGGCTTGTTGAAACTTTTTTTAATTTGAAAATTATCATAATTATGCTCAAATTAAATTCATTATTAAATTTAATATATATTTTAATTCTACCTTTAATTCCCGAATAATTTTTGTCCTAATGTCTGGTTTAACTTCTAAATGAATCATCTATTATAATAAAATTAACTAATTAGTTAAAGCTCAAAACTTTTATTTACTTAAACTAAAAAATTATAAATGTTTTCATCATACCTTTCTAGCCATTAAAGTGCCAGTTGGCTTATGTAATGCTTTGGTAACAACACCACCATTGCCTGCTCCTAACTCCCCTAAATTTTCAAAATCTTCAGCATTTAGTTCTCCCAACTATAATGATAGTTTGTCCTTGATATTAAACGAAATTTAATCAATATAGCTAACTTGTGATTTTTGTCTAAAAAAGAGTTCCATTCTATTTCTTTCAAAATCATCTAAGTCCAATTCTGATAAACGCTTTTGTAACTTCTCATAATTTTTGGTAACATCTTTTTCTTTGGCTCTATCATTAATTTATTGATATTTTAATCGATTCAATATTTACCCCTTATCTTCATCGGCTTCTACAGCTGGCAGTGTTAAATTAAACTTATTCTTGGGATTTTTAGCCATTGCAATGGCCATAAACTGAACTGTGATCAAAAGATTTGAGAAAAATAAGCTTTTAAGAATTAACTAAATATATATTTAATTATAATGAATGACATGTTCATATAACAGCTGATTATATGATTTTAATCAAAATAAAAAATATTGTAAATAACTCGCTGCGACTGAAACTAAGGCTTACTTATATTCCAACACCATTTGGTATTAAGAAAATATTAATGGTAGATATATATACATTTTTACAAAAAAACGTACCCTATAACAGCTAGAGATCTGCAAAGTTAGGCCCGGCCCGTACCCAGCACGAGTCGGACCCGGTCCGAACGGGCTTCGGGCCGGACTCGGGTCTAATTTTATTTAAAATAATCGGGTTCGGGCCGGGCTTAATATTTTTAAAAAAATTCCGGCCGGTTCGGGTCGGATCTTGGAACTTTTTTTAAATATATCTAAATTTATCAATTTTATATTGAATTTTTTATCTAAAATAAAAATATTTGATTTTATTTATTGAAACTAAACGATATATAACATATGTCTTTTATTTTGAGTAATTATATAAATCAATTTCTATATTTAAATAAATTCGGGCCGGGCCGGCAAAATTTTTTAAAAAAAATTCGGGTTCGGGGTTTGTTACTACTCAAAACTTATCCTTACTGTGATGTATTATTTAATTGCTGGCTTTTTTTGAATGAATGAGCTGGCAAAACCTTTTTAAAAAATATTTCGAGCCGGGCCGGGCTTGAAAAATTAGGCCCGATGCAGATCACTAATAACAGCCATATTCTATTTTAATTATTTTATTTTTATTTTTTTAAACATATAGTAATATTTAACTTTATTATTTTCATCGCCACTTTAAATTATTTCTACAAAGTAAGCACTATTTTATCTATTAATTTTTTCTATAAATTATGTAATATTATTGTAAAAATATATTAGGCTATTGTTAATTAGACAGTTTCATCATAAAATAGATTTAGAACTAATGAAAGGCAAAAGAAAAAAAGAGCTTTGGACCTACGGTTAACTAAATTAAAATTTTTAAATTTATTTATTAAAAAATAATAAAATATTGGTAGTCTGTATTGCGAGGAATTACTTTGTAGAATGGGTATTAGTAATAGGGATTTAGCTCAATTTAAATATTAGGATTTAATTTATCAAGCGAAGATTTCTTTATTTTTTCAATTAAGTATAAAAATAAAATCTGTTACTATTGAAAAGTAATTTTCTCATGAGCTTTTTGTAAATAAAAAATATAACTTTTTTTATAAAAATGTAAATCAATTACGGTTATAAAACATAGCTGCAAACTCATATTAACAATTTAAAAGTATATAAATTGATACTTTAAATACAAGTAATAATATAAAGAAAAGTTAATATAGTACATAATTTGTTACTAATATGTATCATTTATAATAATGCCGCCAAAGATAAAATAATATAAAATTTGAGAATTTAAAAAAAAGTATTAAGAACATTTAAATTTTAATTCCTTTAAAATAAAAATATGACTATTTTAATTTGGTTAAATTGGGTTTTTGTAAGAAAATCTTAAACTTATTCTTCTCTCTCTTCCAGTTTTTTTGATGTTAAATGAAAAAATATCTAGCTTGGATAATGGTAAGTTGAAAATCTTGGACTGGGTAAAATATGGGATGGTGGATGAGGTAAAAGGGTTGATGGTTGGTGTATTTATGAATTTATGGTCAAATCAATTTTTTTGTGAGAACAAATCCAACCAAAGTTACATATTCTTAGTATATAAACATTTAATTGAATGTTTAATAATTTAGAAAATTTAGAAAATCAGACCTGGAAAAATTTATAAATTAAATTAATATTAATGGATAAATATTTTTAACGAAATGAAATAGTACAATATGGTAGGGGAATGTAAGAAGGTATAATATAAAGTTATATATTATAAGTATTTTAATCACGATCCCTAACAAATAAAATATTATAGAATTGTATCTAAATAAAATTATAAAAAAGATTAATTTTTTTAAAATATATTCTATAAGATAATATTATTTTTTGGTAATAATAATTTTGATCTGATAAAATATATGAAAATATATAAATTATTGAATGGCCTAATATAGAAAGCCGAAAGAATTGACCTCTAATTACAATTATAAGATTTAGGCTGACTACTAATAGCTAATAGACATTTTAAAGAGTTTATCATTTTTTTATCGATAATAAATCAGATCCGCGGCCCAGACGCCCATACCCGGCTCATAGGCTGCAGGGCATGTGCCTTATATAATATTCTTTTAGAAGGCCTGAGCCGGGTCAGGATTAATTTATTTGATAGGCTTCAGCCGTGCTTGGGCCTAAAGAATTTTTATTTTAATTTAGCTAATAAACAGTTGCTAACAGAAAAATATTCCAATATTTTTCTTCTAGTAATAATAAATTTCAGTATTGCAAACAAAATGACTAACTTATAAACTGAAATTTTATTTATTTTCTACAGTAAATTAATTTTGGAATATGAGCATGAGCCAGACTTTGAAATTTTTTTTGATATCAAATATGGCCCATGCCTGGGCTTATATATTTTTTTACTGCCAACCTGAGCCATGCCTGATCAAATAATTAAGGCCCATGAAGATTTTTATAATAAATACTACCTGCATAATGTTACTACTTCTCTAAAGGTCTTAGTAAAGATATTTTTTTATTTTCATAAGATTATGTTAAATATTTGATTTATGCCTTATACAAAAACAGATTTAAGAAAAATATAATCATATTATTATTTTATATGGGAGCTTAGTAAATTCAGAGCTATGCTTCATTGATGAATTTTTGATGACACATATTCCTCATTTTCCAGCATGTATAGGGATTAATAGAAATTAAGTTTAGGATAACTGCTACATATCAATACCATACTTATGCAAACAATGCTGTATAAACAATATTTTCAAATAAAATAATTATATTATTTGAATTCATACGAACTGAATATATTCGATATGATTTGTTGAATATTCGAGAAAATTAATTCTATAAAAATATTTTCAAAAAGAAAAAATGGAATATTGAAATAGTTCCGCTTGAAACATCTTATGTTTAAGAATTTCATATATTTATGAATAATTTTGAATGTTTATGATTAATATAATATATTTAAAAATAATTTCGATATTTTAGAATATTACAAATAATTTTAAATATTTAGAAATTATTTCATTTAAAATTATACGAAAAATTTGAAATTATATGAAATTAAAAATGTACGAATAATTTATTTAAATAATAGATAAAAATTATTCGATAGATATATTTCCCTTATTCGTATTTGAGTCGAATTTTTGATTCGAATAATTTTGTTATTCTTATTAGTAAAATATGAATCGAATAAAATATTAAATAACGAATTATTTTTAGATATATATAATAAACACTGATGCCAAAGGTAGACCTAATCTTCATTGTCAATCCTACGGGGCCGTTTTTCTAAAGTATTCTCAAAGAAACGAAAGCATAAAAAGGGATTTAACTTCGGCAGGTCTTATTACTATCAACTAGAGCCTAAGGACACAATAAAATCTATTTTTTTCCTTAATGTTATCTTGCTCCTGTATATAACACTTCTTACTATCTTTATCTAAATTTAACTACAAGAATTATTTTCAATTAAAATTTTTTATTACCATGATAATTTCACAACAATTTAAGAATTTTTATATAAATTTAATAATGATCGAAAATTTTACATATTCGAAAAAAAAAATTTATTTTTTCATACCATAATAATCATATTATTAATTAATATTATTATTTAATTCTAAATATTGTTGATTGACGGTTGCTTTATCATTGTTTATTTAAAATTATGCAAGGCTATGACATGCCACCCCTTTATAGGCCAGAGGCATTTACCAAAAACACAAAAATATATTATACATGGTATATAACAAACAGTATTTAAAACGTTATAAATTTACTACAGACTAAGTAAAAGAAAATTGCTATATAAAAAAAATATTATACTCGTATTAACATGAAATTTTCCCATATGTCTCCGTGGCAACCACCGTTGTAGCTGGTATAATCGTTCTTTCAACAGCGGCATTCGTCACTGGCTTCACACACCATTTCCGGGCTATTGTGTTGAGCTGAGCTATATTCAGTGGACAAATCCTATTCATTATCTGCGCGGAGGCGGTGGAATTATCTAACCATAGGCTATCTAATAGTGTTCGTCACAAACTCTCAAGCTAATCTTTTTGTTGTCGCCCTTTGAATCCGACTTACCAGAAGCTGACTCCATCTTATGGACGGTAATTGACACTGATCCTTGATGTGATCCTCTGATTAACACTTATAACATCGTCTCTTCTTTATAGAGTCGAACCATATTGTCGGTGGTTCTCCTTCTGAATATCAACATTCATCTGTAAACTCATATTTTTTGCGATGAGCGTTACTTGAAGGTAATGGCTGTCCAAATCTATGAGTTTTGACTTATTAAAACAACTTTAATAAAAAGCTTCCTTTTATAAATTAAGAATTTTACAAAAAAAATATCCTTTTAAATTTATAACAGTTTTTTTTATAGAAAAAATATAAAATACCAAGAAACAATTTTTTTAAAAAAATTAACACAACTAAAAACTACTTATTAATTTACAATTGTAAAATAAAATGTGTGGTGTATAAAGTCAAATTGGGAAAAATAAAAACTTTTTTTCTTTAGCAATTTACAATTATTTTAAAAAAAATATACGGTCAATGAACCTGACATCACTATTTTCAACCAATTTTTATTACCCCATTTCATTTTCACAACAATTGAAAATGTTACTTATCGCAACTAATTTTATTAATTACCCTCAGAATTATACCATAAATCAATTAATTTCATCTTTTTTTTCCCTTGCTACACAGTACATCTGTGTTACTCACATTAATGTGAACTACAATATCAAGCAATCGTAAACCATCATATTATAGAGTAACCAAAACCAATATTAATGTTAATGCCCATTTAACACATTATCCTTTACATTCAATAGCTGGGAGTAATAATTTAAACCCAATAGCCGCATAA